CTCCAAACTCCTCCCAGACCCGGGTTTTTGCCTCTGCACGGTACTGGACAGCTGCCTCAGGAGTCCCCCGAACCATCATGGCTCGATAGAACTCTTTCTTCAGCCTGACGGCATCCCTTACTGCCGGTGTCCACCACCGGTTTCGGGGGTTGACGCCGGGACCAGCACCAGAGACCTTGCGACCACAGCTACGAGCTGCCGCATCTGCGATAGAGGAAGAGAACATGGTCCACTCAGACTCAATGTCCCCCTCCTCCGCCGGGACCTGGGAGAAGCTCTCCCGGAGGTGTGAGTTGAAAGTGCCCAGCAGACCCTCACTACACGCTTGGGCCTGCCAGGTCTGACCGGCTTCCTCCCCTGCCAGCGGATCCAACTCACAACCAGGTGGTGATCGGTTGACAGCTCCGCCCCTCTCTTCACCCGAGTGTCCGAGACACGCGGTCGAAGGTCAGATGATAAAACAACAAAGTCGATCATCGACCTCAGGCCTAGGGTTTCCTGGTGCCACGTGCACTGGTGGACGGCCTTGTGCTCGAACATGGTGTTCGTGATGGACAAACTGTGACTAGCAAAGAAGTCCAACAACTGAACACCGCTCGGGTTCAGATCAGCGGGGCCGTTCTTCCCTATCACCCCTCTCCAAGTGTCACTGGCATTTCCCATATGGGCGTTGAAGTCCCCCAGGAGAATAACGGAGTCCCCAGGCGGTGCACCGTCCAGTACCCCTCCCAAGGACTCCAAGAAGGCCGGGCACTCCGCACTGCTGTTAGGCCCGTAGGCCGTCACAACAGTGAGAGACTTGTCCCCTACCCGAAGGCGGAGGGATGCGACCCTCTCATTCACCGGGGAGAACTCCAACACGTGGCGGCTGAGATGGGGGGCAATGAGTATGGCCACCCCAGCTTGCCGCCTCTCCCCGCGAGAGACACCAGAAAAGTGGAGCGTCCAACCCGTCTCAAGGAGTTGGGTTCCAGAGCCCAACCTGTCTGGAGGTGAGGCCGACTATCTCTAGTCGGTATCGCTCGACTCCCCCCACGAGCTCGGGCTCCTTCCCCCCCAGCGAGGTGACGTTCCACGTCCCAAGAGCCAGACGTTGTGTGTGCGGACTGGGTCGCCGAGGTCTCCGCCTTCAACTGCTGCCCAGTCCTCTCAGAACGGTTTTGCCACCACGGACCCCTCTGCAGGTGGTGGGCCCACAGGAAGGACTGCCCACGTCGTCCTTTCGGGCTGAGCCCGGCCGGGCCCCATGGGCTAAGGCCCGGCCACCAGGCGCTAGCATACAAGCCCCAACCCCAGGCCTGGCTCCAGGGTGGGGGCCTGGCTGCGCCATGCCGGGCGACGTAACTGTTATTCTATTAGTGCTGTCCATGGTGTCTTCGGACCGCTCTTCGTCTGACTTGTCACCTGAGACCTATCTGCCATGGGAGACCCTACCAGGGGCATGAAGCCCCAGACAGCATAGCTCCCAGGATCATCCGAATACTCAAACTCCCCCACCACGTTAAGGTGGCAGTCCAGGGGGGACTGCCACCTTAACGTGGCAGTCTTAACGTGGCAGTCCCCCCATGTGATTTACAAAAATTATAACGTAAATAACATTTCAATGTCACGTATTATCAGGAATAACCAAATCTGTCAGGAATGAATCAGACGGAGACGGATCGTGGCGCTCCAAGCTCTGGAAGTTCATTAGGTTTCTCTCAAGTTCCAGTGGTGTCAGTTGTTTCTTTCTTTCCCAGACAGAATAAAGGCAGTACACAGTTTAGTCATTGTTACGTCACACATCGAAAGACAGTACGTGTCAAATCAGAGACACTCAGAGAATATCATAGTCATAACATGGATACACAATCAGAGTCTGCGTAGTGTCTTGTGCTTGTCCTGCACGTAGGCCAAATAGCTATCTAATCCTCACAGTATCCAGGCAACCTGCCCACAACAAACCAGTATCAGAGGAAATTCTTGGGTAATCATTGCTTCCTGCAGCACACTGGCCAATCACGGCCAAGAGGGACTAAAGAAGGACCTGGTACCGGTTAAACAGGTCTGATTGGTAGTGTTTCCACCTTCGCTGTATATGGAAACAGCAAAGGTCTGTGAGCTTTGTGGGCTCTGCTTTTATGAGTACGCCACATCCCACATTATGACCCACTCCTCATCTGAACTCGCTCACTCTCGTCATAGTCTGTGTGCTTTGATTTTTTTCTTTCTTTTTTTTTGTATATTATTTCTGTGTTTTTTTTTTATCCATTTATTTTTCTTGCTGTCTGTTCAGCACTTTGGTAAGCCTAGGCTGTTTTAAATGTGCTCTACAAATAAAGATTTGATTGATAGATTTATTGTGTGGAACAACAGCTCAGATATTTAGAACATTTGCAAAAACAATGAAGCGTTCAGCACTGTTCAGGTGAGCATTGTGTTATGACTAAGACAATCTGACAGCACCTTCTCCACCTCTGTGTGTGCTATTGGAAAAGTGTTAGACTAGTGCAATGAGCATCACTAACAAATAAAGAGTGAGGAAACTGGGGAGCTGCTATTGACCCAGACTCTGCAGGAGACCACAGCCCAGGGATCATCCACCTCCCTCTCTCTTATCTCTCTCTGGCCTCTCGTCTGCTCTCGGTGGTCACTCTGGTCTCCCTATGGTCTACCTATGGTCTCTCTCTCGTGTCTCCATCCGGTCCCTCTGGTCTCCATCTGATCTCCCACTGGTCTGTCTTGTTTCTTTCTGGTCTCCCTCTGGTCTCTGACGGAGCTGTTATCTCTTTCGGATTAGGGAGGTCAGAAAACCAACTGTTGTTTAACATGCCCAAGTCTCGTCTTAAAATTGGAGGAGACGAATCTTTGCTGTTGCTGCTCTCAAACTGTGAGATAGTTTCCTCTATATAAGAAAGAAGCTTCTTCATTGGAGGTTTTTAAATCAAGCCTAAACACATTTGGGCGTCTGCCTTTAATGCCAACTAAGTTCATATTGATGTGGACTTTGGGCAGCTGGTGTTGATTTAAATGTGCAATACTATTAAAGCTGACATCAGGAGTGTCACTCATGCAGCCCGCGGGCCGAGAGATTTGATACGGCCCGCGGCTCATTTATGTAAAATGATAATAATGTTTTGTTTTTTTTTATTCGACGCCTCAGCGCCACGCTCAGGAGTAAGTCCAGTGCGTCTGTAGCTGGCTCCACCAGAGCGGTGCTGAAGGAATAACATCTTAAAATACGAGACTCGCCGAAAAATACGGCACTTTGAGCGGAGATTTGAGAAGACAGAAGATAAACATGTCTGCCCCTGAAGACACAGCAGTCTATTTGTTTCCAGAGCGAGAGGTTAGTGCTGCTGCTGTAAAGGGAAGCTAGCTGAGTCTGAGTGCTAAAAACATAGCATTAGCATCACAGCCGCACAGTGAGAGAGTGAGTTGTTAAAACTCTCATACAGGCTGCAGACATGATCTGAGAAACCCCTCGCTGTCACCAACATGTTGCCGTTGATAAGAGACTGATGTTACTGATGTCGCATATTCATTTGTGGTGTTACTGAAACTATCAGAGGAGTTTTGAGCGCTGCTGCTGGTGCTGTTGGTTCTGCTGTTGTTGCTGGTGTGTTGGACAGAGGTGTGCGCTCTCAACTTGTTACCGATGGTAAAAGCAGGTGACTAAGCTGCAAATGGAGGTGATGATTTATGGACATTTGACTGTATTTTACACAGAGACACTGCTGCAGTTGATCAGAATAGATCCTGTTATTGAAGTTGTTTTGTTTCAACTGAATCATGGTCAGTTTGATGCTTTCTCTCTGATGATAACATAACCATGGACCTTACCACACTGAAGATGGTTAAGCTGAGGTGCTGTGTTAAAGTGCTTGTTTCTATCTACCTCCTAAAGTAGCAAGTTTTCTCAATAATGAGCCTTAAAACAAAGCTAACATACAAATATTAATATAAATATTGTGAAATACCATTTATAATGTAATATTGTAAAAACATTACATTATTTGCACTATGAGAAACTCATTGTTACATGTAAGTTTGTAACAGATTTACAGTAAAAACTGAGTGAGTATTAATGGACAGTGTTTAAAGGAACTTTTATATAAATGTGTTTATGTGCACAAAAAGTTTGACTTTGTACTGTTTTTGGGTATTTTTGTAGATCATCTCCTGGTCCGGCCCACTTGAGATCAGATTAGGTTCTATTCGGACCCCAGACCAAAATGAGTTTGACACCCCTGATCTAAGGCAACCTTGAGTGCCAAGAAAGACACCTAGCAAATAAAATGTATTATTATACTTTTCCATTCAAAATCAGCTTTTTGGGGGTTTGAAAATGTGTATTTAATGTGTGTGTGTGCACATAGAGAAGATGACTCTGCGGACTTTGATGCAGGTGCTCCGTCCGTTTCATTTTAAAAGAAACTTTATATACAAGAAGGTTACTTCTTTCAACGTGCTAAGTTGTATTGTGACATGAGTAAAATATACACAATGCACAATTTTGGTTTAAAAAAAAAAATGCTTTTTCTTAACTCATGTTTGCTGAGTGCTATTATTTGAAATGTTCTATAATCCTACATAATGCTCCTATAAAGACAAAATAACCCTTTTGGGGTGCTTTTCAGAAAAGTGCAATACAAAATAGTTGAGTTGATACAAACTATTTGAGTAGTAGTATTTGTATCCATGATACAGGATGTTAAGTTGCTTTGTGATTGGAATTAAGAAGAATTAACAGGTGTAAAACCTTTCTGTCCACCCAAGTTTCTCAGGACTTTCAGTATGTTGTTCTGGATGTACTAATTATTTATGGGGGAGAAATATCATTGCTGTTTAATTGTTTTTTAGGCTTGAAGTTAGGTAATTTGCCTGGCCTGCTATTCAATATTCAATGTTATAAATTGCGATGTTATTACGCTACTGATACATTTCCCATCGCTACTTCCAACTTTGAGACACCGTTCAGCCTGTGTTTTTCCGTTTAAACTCTATCCGAGAGCAAAGGCTTAGACTTTGAAGAGTCCTTGACCTGATGTGGGCCGTTGAAGTCTGCTGCGTTTGGTCCTCACACTGTAATGAGCACTGAGCAAGGGTGATTGCTGTGGAGAAAGTGGGCCACAGGGAGGGGGTCCTGAGGAGAGAGAGGGTGGGGGTTGACCCTGTAAGCGCCTCCGCATTCTACGCAGCGGCCAGGTGAAGAGCGGGTGAAGAACGGGTAATGGAGGTGTCTGACAGGCCGTCCTCCACAAGGTGAGCAGAGAGCACGGCGGTGTGGGAGGAGGCCGCAAGGGGTACGCCGAGCACATCATACAAGCACACAACCATGAACACTGCAAAATATACGTTTTACAAAACTGGTTCAACATACATGACTCAAGGAGGTAATTTGACAGTTATTCAAGCTACAGTATCAAACTTTGGAACTACAGAAATAAAACTTTTTGTAATAAAGTCATAGTATCTAATTAATAGATCTCAAAACGTTCAATAGTTTGCATGCAATTGTTGGTCTCCGAGCCATCTTTACATCATCTTTTATTTTGTGAGTCAGAGAGTACTTGCCCTGACAGTCAGATTTCTGTACGTAAAAGATAAATGTTGACTTTTGGATGTTGAGTAGTATTCAACATTTATCTCTTACATACTCAGTCGGTCAGTTAGTTATACTTCCTTGTCCCCATAGGGAAATTTGTCCTCTGCATTTCACCCATCCTTCATTGCCACTTGGGCTTCTATCAGGAGCAGTGTGTGCCGTGGTACATCGCCTGGGGACCCATCTCCCCAGCTTGGTCAGTACTGCCGGAGATGGAGAATTTCTTGCTTATTGGACATGCTTTTATTGGTGGAGGAAACCTGTACTAACCGGAATTCGAATCCAGGACCTTCTTGCCGAGAAGTGTGAGTGCTATCCACTCAGATCCACTGTAGACCCAGAACTGAGGCTGCGGTCACATGCGCAGCCTAAAGCCCGTTTAAAGTGTGCCAGGGCCCGCTTCGCGATTAGATCCAGGCTTTAGGTACCATCTGACCACGGCATCCGCGCCAGAGAACAATTCCAGGAATCGTGCTCTGGCGCGGTTCAAAACTGCGGCCAGGGCCCGCTTCCCAGTGCGGATGAGGGGGGTCAGTGTGGCGGGTGGTGGGGAGTGGGGGATTAGGTGTGGTGGGGACTTGATATTGTGCGTCACATTACATCTTCCTGTGACACGCATGTCTCCCCTGCACTTTTGTATTCTCCGCTTGTGTCAAACCTTTCATATAAGCCCCGGACCGTGGTCGAGGGGCGCAGGGGGGTGTGTCGCTCCAGAGCCAAAGAAAAGCGTTTCCTATGGGTATAGCTCTCTTCTGTCCTGACCGCTATTATTATGGATCCATGGTCCTGACCCTGGACATCCATGGTCCTGACCTTGGACATCCATGGTCCTGACCCAGTGACATCCGTACTGAGCTGTTAGCTACAGTGGGTGTGGCTGTTAGCTACGGTAGCAGAATGTAGACAGGAAAAGAAGCGGATCTCAACCAGGGCAACAAGGTAGTCTCTGATGTTAGTATTAGCGCCACCAGCTGGAACAAGTGTTGTACTACAGCACAATTTCCCTGGCACGGTTCAGACAATACGTTCATGTGACCACGGGCCATTTTCACACCCCTGTGGCGATGATCCGGGCCACTTGGCCTAGTTCGTTTGTGACCGTGCCCTGAGGCTGTAGTTCTGGATCTACAGCCTCAGTAATGGATCTTCCTCCTCAGTCCTAGATCTTCCTCCTCAGTCCTGGATCTACCTCCTCAGTCCTGGATCTTCCTCCTCAGTCCTGGATCTTCCACCTCAGTCCTGGATCTACCTCCTCAGTCCTGGATCTACAGCCTATCCACCCTCAAGGTTTCTCACTTTTCCCCACAGGGTTTATGAGCAGTTCCTTCCTGATGCAGGAGTGTCTAGGAACAGTGATGAACCGGGACATTCATGGACATTGATCCTATCAGTTACAATTAAGAAAAAAACAGTCTCAAACATCTGCTCTTTGTTCTTATTAAGTGTGAGCTGTGTCTTTGGAATGCCAAAACTACCACAGCTTCTGTGTCATCTTCACTCTGTGAATGCACAGCAGTGGTGTAACGGCGAAAAGTGAAAACAAGGGGTCTACAAAGTTGCTGAGGGTGAGCTCCTTCCACAGGGGCAGACGCATCATTCAATCTGAGGCTAGCTGTGGCGCGGGGAAATTTGCATGTCTTAAAATATACATGCGGCTCCTTTCCAGTGCAAAAAAAAAAGCATTTACCGACCAGCCTTGCATCAGAGCACTGGGAAAAGTTTTTTTTATCATTTTTGTTTTCCATGTGACTTTTTAAGATAGACTTATTACTTGCCTGGTGCTGAGCTGCCGGTGGATTGTCGAATAAGACGTGAGTGTGGTTACATCCAAGCTCAAAGCAAACATCAAGCTTTACCCTTTATGGATTCCATTGATCCTGCTCGCAATATATATTCATGTGTTGCTGTAGAATTCTGGTCCGCAGTGTAATCCGGGACTCATCTCTGCCTTTGCATTATCTGATAGGCCTTTAAGAGAATCTAATGAGCCCACATTGATTTTCACACCTAGCCACCGGGGCACATGTAACACCAGATCAGAGATGATGGAAAATGTGACACCTATTACGCTTTTATTTGTCCTTTGATGGACACAAGTAAAGTGAGGATCAAAGAGATGTGGACAGAGCTGGTGACTCTCGCCCTCAGGAAGAAAAGGTCCTGTCCCAATGGCTGGTGCATTTAGCTATTTTTTGGAACGGATTATCAAATGATTGATTAAAAAAAGCACTGAAGACGTACATGGAAGAAAGAGGAAGATCAGACTTTTCGACTTCTATTCAATGTATTTGTGTAGTATTAAATCACAATAGCAATTTATAGTGAGGAACCACTATAATATCAACAAGAGTATTGCAATAATGTAAAGAAATTACAGAGAAATGGAGCTCGGTATTGCAGGGTTGAGTTTTCTGTAAACAGAAGAAATAAGCATTTTGAGGGTGGAGCTGTGCATGTATAGACTCAAATTATTTCTATAAAGTTCTTGAAAATCACTAAATTGCAAGACCATTGCTCTGGGCGTAAAAGTGACTGCTCTGTAAACTTACAGCGTAACTTTAATATATAGCAGGACCCTTTTTAATAATCGAACAGTGATGGACTAATTAACCTTTTGAATGTAAAGCTGCACTAACTCACTTTGTGAAATTTTCAAATGTGAGCGCTGGCCTCACTCTTCTGCTTGCCCTCCCCGCACTCACGGAGCTATCACCCCCCACGACGCCCCAACCACTCAGCCTGTGCTTATGTGTTTGAGCTCACGTCTCACAATATGGGTCACACATTTGAACGTGGATGTCGTGACCATAGAATGATAGAACCGGGAAGCGCAGAGGACGAGACTTTCTTTTGGATGGCTGTTTTGATGAGTAAGCAGTAACCGGTAACGAAGACAAGAGAAGCTTCAGGTTAGCCTCCGCCACTTGTTTACCTCAGCTGTCTGTGCTAATGAGAGACCTGTAGATTTGCTCACGAAAGTGGGGGCCAGTGGTCCGCTGTGATTGGTCACAATCTGGTCCCGAAACAAATTATCTTCCTTGTTGTACAAAAACTTGATCTGAATTGAAATGACACGCCAGCACAAATCTGCACTATTTATTCTTCAAAAGGACGTATATCCCAATGCAAGCTTTTCACTTTGCGGGGCATGATCTCCTGTTCTTGAGAGTAGGCTACACAACTATGGTATCTCAAGCAACTCCTGTGAGATCGCCATCATGTGGTTGGTTGTGGGATTACAACATTCTCCTCAAAACTCCGCAAGGAGTATAAGGGTGCTTTCACACGTGTTGGTCCACTAAAGTGGTTCGCTTGGGCCCTAAAGTTGTTACAATGTTGCAGTTCTCAACTAGTTTGGTTCTCATTCACACCAGTGTTTTTGCAAATGAACCACTGTGGATGTTACATATTCTGCCCATGTGGTGGCGCTGCTCACAAAATACCAGAAGAAAACAAACTTGTCAGATCTTTAACGATGAACTGTGCTACTCTAGTGTGAAGCTATTCTTTTATCTTCATTGCTTTGTGCAGCACAAATACTGTTGTTCCAGTTCCAGTATGTATCGCGGAAATCAGCACGAGAACACTCTGCGGTTATTTTTGACTATTCTATCATATAAAAAAACAATGTGTGTGTTAAAAAGTGAACTACGCAACAGAGCAGGGCCATATTGAGGCCGGTCTGCGTTCTCACCAGCAGCAAACCAGACTGGAGTCCGCATGGAACCGTACCGAGACCAGCTCCCTAAGGTGGTCTCGGTACGGTTCTTTAGTCCGGACCAAATTTAACTTTCCACTTTCACACCTGCTCAAACGAACCGTACTTGCAGGTGTTCCAGACTCCAGTCCGTTTTAAGTGGACTAAATGGTACAGGTGTGAAAGCACCCTAAATTAAATTGTGCTTGCGTAGGTCCACCGCAACCACTAACGTAAGCAGCGCCGCGCAAGTATACACTAGGCTTTATGTATGCTCCCATCCTCTTGATAAAAACAGCGTGGGGAAAGTGTTAATTAGCACCTAGTCTTCAGCATTTGTAAAGGCTTGAACTCCTCATTGAACTGTCCCAGTGAAAGTACCTCTCAGAAGCACTCAGAGACCATCGCCTGCCACAGAGAACTTTGACTCCTGCAGAGAACTTCTCCTCTACAGCCATAGGTTGGCGCCCCCTCATCAGTTAACAGTGGATCTTATTCATTGGTCATCATCAAAACCATGTTGTGCCAACCTCTCACCTCATGTGCGGAGCTTGTTACAAAAGGGCGGGCTATGTTTGATATCAACTTCAATACCCCTACATCTCTCCCTCTCACACACACACACACACACACGCACACTGCATGTGCCACGCTGCTTGGCACATGAGAAGATGGCGCCGTGCCAGGGCGCCGCTGCAAGAGCTCCGTTGTGCACCGTGATTTTTATGCTGTTTTTATCCTTTCACAAAACACTTGCCACTGTGGTATATGATCGACAGACTCTCCTGGACATACGGGACTTGGCCTGTGAGCCAGTGTTGCCTGCTCTGAGGTGTGATGGCTTTGACGAGTGCCCAGCTCGAGGAGAGCGGCGTGCGGACCGCAACAGAGACTGGGAACAGGGCGATGAGGCCGGGCGCCTCCCCCGTGTTCACCACCGTGCGGAGCCGGGTGTCTCTCGCCGACGGAGGAAGCGCAGACACCGGGGAAAGCGTGGCGGGCTTCTCGTGCGGAGT